TTTCCCCATTTGTACTCAAAATCTATTGTGTAGAAATATGAACAAATTTGTAGTATAAACCTTTTTAAAAAAATATGTAGTTAAGATGTCTTATAAATACTCTGAAATGCTATCTTGGTACAATTAAAATTATGGAGAGTTTATAATAGACTAACCTTCCATCTTAAGAACTCTCAACCTTATGTACATACACATTTTTATAGTATTCAGAGATGATATTTTGTATTTCTGTGCACATACACTTGAAAATGTAGAGGAAATGGACAAATTCTTAGAAACATACAGCCTCCCTAGGCTACAGAGTGGGAGAAAATGTTTCCATGCTATACATCCAATAAAGTATAACAACTAGAATCTATAAAGAATGTAAGCAAATCAGCAAGAAAAAAAATCAAACAACCCGATTAAAAAGTGGGCAAAAGACATGAACAGAAACTTTTCAAAAGAGAATAGACTAATGGTCAACAAACATATGAAAAAATGCTCAACATCTCTAATCATCAGGGAAATGTAAATCAAAACCACAGTGAGATATCACTTAACTCCAGCGAGAATGGCTGATACCAAATAGTCCCCAAAACAACAAATGTTGTTGTAGATGTGGAGAAATAGGAACACTCTTAAACTATTGGTGGGATTGTAAGCTAGTACAACCACTATGGAAAGCAATATGGAGCTACTCAAACAACTAAAAGTATAACTACCATTTGATCCAACAACCCCACTACTGGGTATTTAGCCAAAAGGAAAAAAAGACATTCTATAAAAAAGACACCTGCACTCGAATGTTTATAGCAGCACGATTCATAATTGCAAAGATGTGGAAATAACCCAAGTGCCCATCAGTACATGAGTGGATTAGTAAAATGTGGTGTATGGAGTACTACTCAGCCATGAAAAATGGTGAATAATACCTCTTCTATTATCTTGGATGGAGCTGGAGACAATTCTTCGAGGTGAAGTATCACAAGAATAGGAAAAACAAACAACACATGTACTCAACATTAAATTGGAACTAAAGGTATTGTTCCAACATTAAATTGGAACAATACCTATGGGCACATATGGAAATAACAATCATTGGAAATCAAACAGGTAGGAGAGGTGCAGGGGATGGGTATCTGCTCATACATAGATAGTGATCTTTCCTCCCACCTGCTAATACCTGGTAAGGATTCAACTAGTCATCTTAAAGATTATCCGTGTTATCAACCACCATTTAAAGGTTGTTTATCACTTGGTTCAGACACAGAGTTATCATTTGCCTTGAAGACTGAAGTATATATTTATTGTTTTGTCATTTCAGCATCAGTATCCTGTTCTTTTGATAACAGAGCCGTAACTTTCCTTTGGAAGACCATGAATCCTCCATCCTGCTATATGGACTGGTGGGATTGACTCTACCACTTAGTTTAAGCAGTTGATACATGACCCAGATCTAATAGTGATAATTGTACATCGCCACAACTACTGTAGGGGTGGACTCAAGACCAAATGTGGAAGAATGAAAGTGGTGCCTAGAATTTCGCTGGAACTCCTTAAAAACATATGTCCCTATTTTCCTAGCAGTGCTAAGCCTAGAGGTGCAGGTAATTCCCTAGAAATGAAATGCCTGCCTGAGACTGAAGCCAACACAAAGGAAAGCAGAGATACAGCAGGAAAATGATAAATTGGAGATATGCTTTAGCCCCATTCTCACTCTCCTCAAACAGAATAATGCTCAGCCTAGAATCTTGCACCCTGCAAAACTAAGTTTCTTATATGAAGGAGAAATAAGGACTTTCTCAGACATGCAACAACTTAGGGAATTCATCAAGACAAGACCTGCCCTGCAGGAAGTACTCAGAACTGTGTTACTCATGGATCAGCACCATAAACATTTACCAGTATAAAATCATCCAAAATGTATGGGCAGATTTTAGACTGGAAAGGAAGAAGGACACATGACAAGTATGGGGAATGGCAAGGGGAAAGGTATAGAGGCAGCATGAGCCTGCATGATGATGGGAAACAGAGACAACAAGTCTCACTAAGACAAGGAACATGTGCAGTGAAGTATTAGGGAGTACAGTTTAATATAGGATGGGACAGTGTATTTATTTGAATTCTAGGAAGAAGAGTTTAGACGTGCTATAAGAATTTGGACATGACTGTAAGCAGAGTGACATGAGGAAAGTGTTGTTTAATAAAGGTGTAAACTATCAGTGTTAGGCAGTATAGATTTGGCAGAAAGAATCTATCATTTAAATAGGAAGCATTGCTGCAGTGTAAATGTAGAATTATGAGGGCCTAAATTTTGGTAGTGATTGCAAAGGAATTAAAGAATAAAAATTAGATATTTTGAAAAAATGGATTAGCAAAATGAATAAATAAATAAAGCAGTGAAGAAACCAGTGTTTAGTGGGAATGTATACAAAATGATGGTTTCCCCAGAAGAAAAAGATACAGAACATATTGTTTTTCTTTACTAAGAGAAAAATAGGATAGAGATACCAGTTAGAGAAAAGAAAATAATTTCATATAGAGTTTGAGGTGATAATGTTACCTCCAAATGTAGCTATTCTATGCATAGGTGAACAGACTGAACTAGGATATGTGGAGATATGGATTTTTAAACTGTAGTATAAAAAAGAAGTGAGGCACCTGAGACAAATACAACAAGCAGACTTGATGGAGAACAGGACCCAAATTCAAGGTGTGATTGTGAAATTAAACTTGAGTAAGTCATTTAACATCTCTGAAACTCAGTTTTTAAGTGGGGATGATAGTATCTACTTCATAGTGTTCTGAACACACAAAGTGAAAGGGCCTGCAAGCTGTAAAGCTATATAGATTAAGATACTGTGATCTCGTGAAAGTCATGAGAATTGAAGGGTAGACTTTTTAAGCTATGTATATCTTAAGGGCTTTGAAGTTGAGACTTTAGCCTTCTTCCCTTGATCTAAGATCTACATCTTGCTGTGCTATGAAGTGGATGATTCATTATTACAAGCAGACATTAAAAGGTCAGTTGGCTCGCCTGCTTCTCAAACACATGAAAAATAATGCCAAAGTCTTTATAAATTCTGGAAAAGTTTTTTGGTAATCATCTTTAGGGTTTGCTTAATTGGAGAAATATAATTTTAACTGGCAAATAAAAGAATAAACCAGACAAATTTCCAATTCAAAAGTTCTTTTTCTATGGCATATTTATTTATTTTTTTTTTCTTAAAGATAGAATCTCACTCTGTCACTCAGCCTGGAGTGCAGTGGAGTGATCAGAGTTCACTGTAACCTTGAGTTCCTGGGCTCAAGTGATCCTCCTGCTTCAGCCTCCCACGTAGGTAGGACTACGCGTGCAACACCATGCCCAGCTAAATTTTTTTAAAAAAATTTTTGTAAAGACAGGGTTTCCCTGTTTTCTCAGGCTGATCTTGAACTCCTGGCCTCAAGTGATTCTCCCATCTCAGCCTCCCAAACTGCTGGGATTAGATATATGGGCCATCACACCTAGCCTCTATGGAATATTCACATAAGTTAAGAAGTATCTTAAATATTGCTTATACTTATCCTATATTATTACAGTTTTCAACTTTGAGGCTGGTAATATTAAATTATAAAATAAAACATTCAGGCACATTGTTTGATTTAAGTATGCATAAATAATGCATTTTTGATTTTTATTAGACTCTTTAAAGTTATAAATTATATTGAAATAAATAACATTACTTTAGGAAAAATTAAAACATAGATGCCTAAGCAAAGCACAAGTTCTTAGAGAAACAGGACCTAGTATGTTTTGTGTCCTCAGACTATATTTACAATATCAATATTTTATTTGTAAAGATTGATCTGAAAAATATTTTTTCTATTTTATCAATTATGATTGAATGAGACATGTAGATATTGATATTTCTTAAGGATATTACAACTCAAGTTTAGGTACATGATGAGGAATTGCCTAATATAAATTCAAACTAATTTATGATTACATTGTCACTTTTTTTCTTTTATTTTTGGTATGCAAGTCAAGGTTTGATCTCTATTACAGATGTTGATGTCACTTTTCCGCTTCCCAAAAGTATTTGAATAAAAATAAAGAAATTATCTCAATTCTTACCAATGTGCTTGAGACTCCCCAGCACAAGGAAAATTTCTTGATTTAATCTTTGCATGCCCCTCACCTTGGACAGTGCCAGGCACAAAATAGGCTCTTAATAGCTATTTTAGAACATGAATGACTTTGTTGTGATACTGTATTTGTCATATATGTCACTGGAAATATTAATCACCGGGGCTTGAACATGTTTTTATTTTGCTATAATGATTGTTTGCATGCAAACTACTTATAAATTGTTTTAATTTCACTTTTAATGCAAAATTTAGACTTGGTAAATAAAATCTTTACATAAAAATTCACGTTAGTATATATTTATATATATATATATCTCATTTCCCCTACAAAAACCACCATATTAATGAGAGAGAAATTTAATTTCAAAAAAGTGCCCTTTCAAAGGCAGTTTTTTCTCATCTTCAAGCTCACAAAGGAATTCTTAGAGGTAGGAGGGAGTCTCCCATGCCCACTCCCCCCAAAAAACCCTGGAAGAAAAAGGGAAATTTCCATTCAAATTTTTAAAATATTATTGCTATGGACCTGCATGGATTTGTGTAAACTGTAAAGGCATATGAATGCTCCTTTTTTTTTTTTCTGAATTCCCTTTTATGCTGATATCTTATAAATACATTCTTCCTGGTTCCTGTTACCCACATGCACTACTATAAAGATTATAGATCCCAGCAATTGCTCCTGCACTCAATAAAGGACAGAGAAAAATGTACCGAGGGCAAACCTATCTGTGAACGATCTCTGTAAGCCGGTATTTATTCAGTTTGCACTGAATTCGTGGTGGCTTCACAAGAAACCTTTGTCTGTGGGACGGTGGGTCCCACAGTGGCAACCATTATCTATTCGTGGAAACGACATCCGATGACTCCGCCCGGGCTGGGGGTGGGGACGAGCACCGCGTGGAGAGCTTGACTGAGAATTAAAGTGAGTGAACAAAGAGAACTCCTGGCAGCCGCCCGCCAGCGCCTTGGAGCTGCATCAGGAGGCGTCAGTCACGCCCAGAAGGCTGCTCGAATCCGCCTCCCTGGAAAAAGAGCTCAAGTAAATAATTGATGGAGATTGATCGGACCCAGGACAAAGCTTTGCAGAAAACCAGTGCACGCGATTTCAAGCGGCTTTGGAATCTTCTGCCGAGTGCGGGATATGAGAGTGGAGGAAGGACTTTGAGAGCGGCTGCCAATCTTCCATCTCGGGCGGTGGCTGTGGCCTTTTTGTCTTCCTGTCCCGCCACCCCCCACCCCTTCCCTGCCTTCTTGTCTTTCCTCTTGAAAGTAACCTCTCTTTGGTTACCCCTGCCCTGTGGTCCCTGGCAACCCCGCCCTCTCCCCTGCCCAGTCCGGTGAGGTCAGCTCATGAATATCACTGCACTTCCTGGGGAGCGTCTGGCACGGCTTGGTACCTCCGTGTTAGCCTGCTGCGAGCCGCGGCTCCAGCCCGGCCGCGGACCGCCGCGAAGTAACCCGCTCCGGGTCTGAGTCTTGACGTTACCGCCATTGTTTGGAGGAATCGAGTGGGTGTGGAACTGGAGCCAGCTGGCCCAAAGTCGTGCTCAGCCAGAGAGTCGCACACAATACTACGAAGTTGAACTTTCCCTCGGCTCCGAAAGGCACAATAATCAAAATCCTGAGATCCACGGAATATCGAAAGGAAAGCGTTGGTGATTTGCATCAACTTCTCGGAAACGTCGCCTCTGCTGAGAAGTGAGCAGTTCTGGATTTCTAAAGGGATTGGGATGAGAGATGGGGAGGGTCGGTAGTCAGACAAAACTTGAGATTGAAAGTGTTGGTTTGAGCCAGGCCAGGGTTGGTTGGGTGGCAATTTCCACGGGGGGAAGCCTTGAAGAGATGCAGCATCTTGTCACTTTGTGAGAACCACGTGACAGCAGACAGGTACCTTTGATTGTGGAGCCCAGTTACTGGAACAGGAGCTTTCTCCTGGGCTAAAGCTGTCTGGGAGCCGGGTTTAAGCATTATCTGATGGCTTCTCAGCTCTGGAATGATTCTGCCCAAATAAAAACAAAAAATAAGTTTGCATTGGCATGTAGCTTAGTTAGGTGGCCCACGTTAGTGTGACCCAGGCTGATGAACTAGGCCAGACATTTTAGTAGTGTTGTGGCTCCAAAAGAAGATGTAGAAAATAAGTTGGTAGGCATTTTTTCCCTAATATCTTCTTTGTTCACCTTTATAATCCTTCTGTTTCTGGGAGGAGATGCCAGAAACAGATAGGGAGGTGGGGGAGGAGTCCTCCAATAATATTTCTTTATAAAATGAGGAATTACTGCACGCTAACTTATGATACTAAAAATAGATGACAACAAGTATAATGCAAGTACAGTGACCGACAGTAGAGTAACCTTCTCTCTTAATAAGAGAAAAATTTTATAAAGCAAAACTTTATGCCTAGTCATGGCCTTTTCAGTGCTTTAGAGAGAAAGGCTTCTAAGGAAAAGTATGTAATTGACTAGCTGACTGGACCACTTAGGGAGAAGAACCCATGAGGCAGTAGCTTGCTATTTTCCAGATTAAAGAAGTCAGTGTTGGATTTATCTTGGAAAGATACACAATGGAAATTGATCTTACCATCATGAGGGATGATGTATCAGCCTTCTTGGTACAGGGTCATTCTGTCTCAAAATTCTCTTTATAGAAGGAAATGGGCACTTTAAATTACATCTTTGCCTATGATATGCCAGCTAAGAAGATGCCTAAGAATGAAAATATTTTCTATTTAGCAATTACACTTAAAACTAAAATGATTCACAAAAACTATGAAAATGGATAAGTGTAGAAAAATTCATCACCAGAAACTTAGAGAACTCTGTAGAGCTACCCATCAAGTTTTCTAAAAGAATTTTAAAAATTATTTTCCAAAGCTAAAACAAAACAAAACAACAAAACTTTGGGGTTGCTAATAACTAAACCATATAGATAATTCCTAATGCCATTATTTTCTTGAAACTGAGGTTGATTTAAAATCATTCATTATTTAGAATTTCTTTTAGTTCTGTTCTAAAGGAAGTTGGGTGCATTTTTCTAAAAACATTAGGGGTTGGAAGTTGCTTGAGAAAAGTTTCACTTACACACATCAAATTTTCTCTAGGAGCCTTACATCATAACCCTTTTCCTCTAATTGACACTGGGGAATACTGATTGAATAAAACCTTCTCCACTAAAGTAGGCTTTAAATATAGATTTTATGGTGAGGAAAGCCAAAGTTGTAAAAGCAAGAGTTTAACAACTCTAGCATGTGAACATCTCCTTTTGTTTTGGAGGCTTCTTCTCGACCTTACCCTCTTTTCTTTAAATCTCCATTCTCAATAATACATTTCTGACTTTATATCTCACCCTTTCCCAAACCTGCTACTGTGAGACTGTATAAGGTTCAGCTGTTTTCAGATCCGTCATCATTTTACTGAGTGCAGGGAGATGAAGACAGCGCCACCGTGGACAAAATGAGATTTGACGGCCCTGCATTCTATTCCTAAAGTCAAAGCTTCTATCTATTAAGCTCCTTCCAAATCTCATCGTTTTCTGAGGCTTCTCTTGTACAGCAAAATCACCCTTTGCTCTGTAACAATGTCGACATGTGTGCTTTCCTTCTTTTGTTTCTGTCCCAGCTTAGAAACGAAGGTTGGTGGCGGTGAAGAGGGAAGAGGATGATCTAGTGATGGAGGATTCCAAATCGCATCCCATAGGTTCCTCCTAGACTGCCATGAGTCAGCCACCGTCCGGGGGCGCTGCCCCTGCCGCAGCTGCAGCTTCTGCTGCCTCCGCAGCCACTGAGGCTCGCCTGCACCCGGAGGGCAGCAGCAGAAAGCAGCAGCGAGCTCAGTCACCCGCTAGGCCGAGGGACAATTCGCTCCGACAGACACCCACGGCCACCCGGTCCCCGGTGGGGGCCGGCACTAAACTCAATTCTGTTCGGCAGCAGCAGCTGCAGCAGCAACAGCAGGGTAACAAGACCGGGAGCCGCTCGGGGCCTCCGGCTGGCTCCCGAAGCGGTGGAGGCGGGGCCGAGAAGGCGGCGCCCCAGGCGCCCAAAGGGGCCGCGCCGGGAGCTGTCCAGCCCGCGGCTGGTGCTGAAGCGGCCCCCGCCGCGACCCTGGCCGCTTTGGGCAGCAGGAGGCCCGGGCCCCCTGAGGAGCAGCCTCGAGAGCTAGATTCGGTGCCCTCGAAACTCGGGGAACCCCCTCCGCCCGGGGAAGGGGGAGGAGGGGACGGGGAAGGAGGAGGAGCCGGCGGCGGCTCCGGGGAAAGGGAGGGGGGCGCTCCGCAGCCGCAGCCGCCGCCGCCCAGGGGCTGGCGAGGGAAAGGCATCCGCGCTCAGCAGAGGGGCGGCAGCGGCGGGGAGGGGGCCTCCCCTTCGCCATCCTCCTCTCCCGCGGGCAAAACCCCAGGCCCCGGTAGCAGAAACTCCGGAAGCGGCGTTGCAGGGGGCGGCGGCGGCGGTGGAGGGAGCTACTGGAAGGAAGGATGTCTGCAGTCTGAGCTCATCCAGTTCCATCTCAAGAAGGAGCGGGCGGCAGCGGCGGCAGCCGCGGCTCAGATGCACACTAAGAACGGCGGCGCTAGCAGTAGCCGCAGCTCCCCTGTCGCTGGAGCCCCTGCCATTTGTGAGCCCCTCGCAGTCCCTTCCGCCTCCCCAATGGCGGCGGCGGCGGAGGGCCCCCAGCAGAGCGCAGAGGGCAGCGCAGGCGGAGGGGGCATGCAGGCGGCGGCGCCCCCTTCGTCGCAGCCGCACCCGCAGCAGCTCCAGGAGCAGGAAGAAATGCAGGAGGAGATGGAGAAGCTGCGAGAGGAGAACGAGACTCTCAAGGTGAGGAGGGTGGGGGGAGGCGGGTGGGGGAGGGGACGTGTGGGCCTCGAGGATTAGGGCGTGTCCCGGCGGGGGTGAGAGGCTGCTAACCCGGTAGGGAGCCTTAAAGAGGGAGGGGAACAGGAAAAGAGGGAGAGGGGAACAGGAAAAGAGGGAGAGGGGGTCCTAGACCTTCTCTGGATTTGAAACAGAACCCTATCTTAGTAACGTTAGGTTTTCATTTAAATCCACATCTGGGCCTTCGTTTCTCTAATTATCATGGTTTGTCCCACTTTTTCGTGGAGAGAGCTAGAGTAAGAGAGCGAGAGAAGGCCTCAAGTGGGCCCTCTTTCCAGTTTCCTCTCCTTCATTTGGCTTTTTTTGTCATTTGTCTAATGGAGGAGGAGGACATAAAGCTGAGAATTTGGAATTGGAATGGGGTGTGTACGGTGTATGTCGGAGGGGCTGAAGGTGAGGCTAATTTTGACGCGCGGCCTGTCACCGCCTCAGAACGAGATCGATGAGCTGAGAACCGAGATGGACGAGATGAGGGACTCTTTCTTCGAGGAGGATGCCTGTCAACTGCAGGAAATGCGCCATGAGTTGGAGAGAGCCAACAAAAACTGCCGGATCCTGCAGTACCGCCTCCGCAAAGCCGAGCGCAAAAGGCTCCGCTATGCCCAGACCGGGGAAATCGACGGGGAGCTGCTGCGCAGCCTGGAGCAGGACCTGAAGGTCTGCGGCGTGGCGTGGGGCGGGCTTGCCGGCGTGCGGCAGGGGCGGCCGGTGGGGACTCTGGTCGAGGGCTCTTTGCGCGGAAATGTCTTCAGTGGTGACCTGCAAAGAGCTCTGGGGATACAGAATTTTGTCCCGCCGACACAAAATAGCAGGGTCCCGAAAGGGTTAGAACTGACAGGTGGGTCTAAAGAGACCAGTGTGTATGGATGGCCTGGCAGAAAACGAGCTCAGTGAGCCCTCCTGGGAGTAACTGTGGCTTTTCCAGAGGTGAAGGGAAGAGGGCGCCTTCCTTTTGGGCGGAAACAAGGGCGTGACAGAGCTCAGGCTGTGGCTTTGATCTGGCCTGGAGTCTGTATTTCCAAGCCAAAGCCAGGTGGAATCTAGTACTCAAGAGTGGCACTAGGAGGACCCCTCCCGGGGAATTAAGTCCAGAATAGGAATAGCACTGGCAATGTAACAGTTAAGATTTCTCTCTGCAAGTTCCTACATTGCCACCTTCTTCCAGGATACCTTCCTTTCTGTAGTTGTCACTTAGGTAACTCCCTGAAATGAAAACTGTCCAACTTGTGACCGGTTTGTTGAAGTAAAAGAATAAAGTAAATGAAAGAATCTCATTTTTAAAGTGAAGTTACTCCTTCAGAATCTCTCCCAGTACAGAAATCTCAACCTTGAAATGCATGTCTTAGACAAGTGCAGTCTCCAGTTCATTTTGAATGTAGGCAGATTCATTGACAAGGCAACCAGATATTAAATTAATCGCCCTAGGCAACCAAATAAATATACTTTTAATTGTATTAGCTTCATCAAGATATAAAACTCAAATGTATAATTATCCTATATTTCTTTTAAGGAAAGCTATGAGTATATATTTTATGAGAGTCATTATTGTATTATTTCTTTGATTACTTTTGCTAGCATTTCTTGAGTGCTCACTATGTACCAGGCACTTGGCTGGCATTGTTACATACATTATTTCATTTAATTCTCAAGGGAAAAACACCCTGTAAGGTAGAGATTATTAATGACATAGTTTTACAGAGGCAGAAGCTACATCTTTCACAGAGGTTAAGGGCTCAGACCTGGAAAGCTGTGATAGCCAGCTGTCCATCCTGTCTAAAACCACAAGCCAGTATCCTACTCCTCTACACCAGATTGCTCCAGTTTTCTTTCAAACCCTAAAATGTCCAAGATAATCTGAGAACATGGGGCAAAAATGCATAGTAATTCCAAAAAATTAATATCAAGAACTGAAGTGTTTCCTAAAATTAAGCACTTAGAATTCTAGTTATAACATCAAAATTCAAGCCCCAGCCCCCTACTTATAAAAACCTCTGTTTTCCATTCTTTATCATAGGTGATAATGAAAACATCTATTGCATAGTTTTGTTGTAGAATTCGAGAAGATATGTGAAATTTCTCCACATGTGATAAAATGCAATAGAACATTTATTACCATGGTTGGCGTAGGGTAGAAGTTAAGGGAACAAAATCTAGAGCCGGACTACTAGACTACTTGTTAGTTGTGTGACCTTGAGCATATTACTTTACCTCTCTGAAATTCAGTTTCCTGATCTGTAATGTAGGAATAATAATAATGACTATCTCATGGGATTGTTCCAAGGGTAAAATGGTTGATATTTGTGAATTGCTTATATGTAAAGAATGCTGAACTCTTCCTAGTACATGGTAAGCACTAGATAAGTATTGGCTCTTAATGCTTTCAGTATGAATAAAATTTTCACCCACTTATTATATTGTCTTTAATTATATTTTATTGGTACAAACACTAATTCAGGTCGCAAAGGATGTATCTGTGAGACTTCACCATGAATTGGAAAATGTGGAAGAAAAGAGAACAACAACAGAAGGTGAAAATGAGAAACTGAGGCAACAGCTCATAGAAGTTGAAATTGCAAAGCAAGCTTTACAGAATGAACTGGAAAAAATGAAAGAGGTTAGTATTTGATTATTTCATGGTGTACTATATATTTTTAGCTCTTCAGAAAAGAATCCCAAGGAGTAATATGACTATTAAAATAATGCTTTCTTTTAAGATTACAGGACAGTTTTTTGTCCTCATGCAGTATGTCAAAAAATACATGATTTCATACTAATATATGAGTAGCAATGAAAAAATTCTGACCTGAACCCTGTCCCTAACTTGACATATATGAGCTGTGATGGATGTTTCATCTCTGGGTCATCTAAATGTATGTTAATTAGATAAATTACATAGCATACTAAATGCAAAGTATTTGAAGAATATGAAGGAATGTGCCTTGTGTTAGTTAAAGGGAAGAGTTAGTCCTGTGAGATTACTGCTGAGTTCACAGAGCCATAAACTTTTAGGATGGGAAAGGCTATAAAAGCCATTTAGTGTAATCCATTCGTTGGTTGAAATTCTCTCTATAATGAAGCTCTCTTGCCCCTGATGGTCTAACACTTACAGTATCACCCGTGACTAACCCTTAAGATCTTTCACAGCAGCCACTTCTATCACATCATAGCTCTGTTTAAAGGTTTTCTTTGTTTTGAGTTGAAATCTGTGTAATGATGACTTTAACCAATTTATCTTAGTTCTACCTTTTAGGGTAGAAGAGTCAAATTTCTCTTCCGTGTTAGCTACTTGAACATTCCTACCTTATTTACCCTGAGTCTTCTCAAAGAAAAAAAAAACACAGAATCAGGATCAAAGAAAATAATTGGAGGAGAAAAGAAACTGAAAGATCTATTAGGAAGCAATTAGCTTTATGATAAATAGCAATTTAATTTTAGTTAAAACAATATTCTTTGAAAACTACATGAGCACATACAATGCAACCTATGAAAACTGTTATTGAGGATTAGCAAATGCACAAGTGGTCTTCTGAACAATTCCTCTGCTTGGATATGCAGAATTCTAAGGAAAATCATAAGCTTTCCACAGACACTGAGGTACTGAGCCACGTGTCATTGCTGTGCTTATCTCAAAATGGTACAAAAATATATCTACAATGTAACAGTGAAAATATAGTCTGGGAATATGTAAGGGCTAGGACTTTGTAGAATATGATTTCAGTAGAATAAACTATTTTTTTGTGATCTTGGTGCCTACTTCTTATATTATCCTGATTTTAAACATTTTTTAACATGACAACATAGGGAAAATTATTTTAATGATGTGACATCCTTGCCTACTAGTTAAGAGTGGCTCTGTGCTACAGTAGAAAAACATGGAGAATGAGAGCCATGTGAGTTATCTTAACCAGGAACTAACTGGGTGACTTTAAAAGGCTTCCAACTTCTACTTGCCTTCATTTATTCATTATAGACTGTAAGGGTTGTTTTATATGATTCTCGACATCTTTTGCCACTATACAAGACTTTTATCATGAAATTCAGGACATCACCATGTAAAGAGCAGCATAGTTTTTGTTTCTTAAGTTAAGAGATCAAATATGAACTTAATATAGATACAAGTATATGTTTCTTCAACAATAACTACAGTTGCAGTGGGTCATGTTAAAAGTGTCATTCCCAGAGCAAAAAATTAAGTAGGAAGCTATATTAGTTTTCCAGGGCTGTTCTAACAAAGTACCAAAAACTGGGTGGTTTAAACAACAAAATGTATTGTCTCACATTTCTGGAGGCTAGAAATCCAAAATCCAGGTGTTGGTAGCGTTAATTCCTTCTGAGGCTGTGAGGGAAGGATCTGTTCCAGACCTCTCTCCTTGGCTTGCAGATGACTGTCTTCCAAATTCTAAATTTCCCCTTCTTATGAGAACACTAGTCATATTAAATTAGGGTCAACCTTAATGACCTAATTTTAACTTGATTACCTCTGTAAAGACCCTATCTCCAAATAAGGTCACATCCTGAGGAACTGGGGATTAGGACTTCAATGTATGAAATTGGTGGGGAGAGTGGGGAGGAGGAAACACACTTCAGCCCACAGCAGTAGTAATTAATAGCTTCCTACGGGCAGGCTAAAAGAAAGTTCGTTCATCTTCAGTCTCATTAGGCCCCATTCCTTGTTCATACATCAATTGTGTTATCTCATATTCTTAGTCTATATAAAACAATATCTATAAAACATTCGAGTAAAAGCAAACTTCACTTGATTACCAGATATTAAAAAGAAACACCTTGTAATTTGGTGTCATGTGAATGTTTTTCAAGGGGGTATCTGAAAAGTTGTATTTGAGAATGGCATAAGAGTTTTCTGATTTTCATCCTACATCCAGGAAAGGAAATGCTCATAGACTTTTCCATTAGCTAGAAAGATGTGATCTCTCACATCTTAAAATAAAAGCCTAAATAATCTGGCCACCAGGAGTGAGGGATGGAATTTAGGAATGTCTTCAGAAGAATATTAAAGATACGTTTCCTTGATTTTTTTTCTCCCATACCCTTCCCTATGACTATTTCCTCTTTCAAGGCTCTAATTCTGAGTTTAGAAAATACTATTACAGCACCAAGCAGTGTAGGATATATATATATTCATGACAAAGAGGCAATTCACATTCTTTTTGGAGTTATAAAAGCCAAACGCCAATCTCCTACTAGGAAATATAACAAAAGTATAAAGAATTTAGGAGCATGTATTCAGGACATCAACTTTTAAAGTAGCCTTTTATTAAGAAAAATAGCATTTATAGTTTGAGAAGATGGGTGGGGGGAGGAATAGAAATAGAAAGGAAGGGAGAAAGAGTGGAAGATAATACTCTAAAGGATGCTACATGTAATAAAGGAAAAATGAAGAATATTCTGGTAGGAATATTTTATAATCATCCATTTGAGGTTGACCTTCATAGTATTCAAAACAGTGTAAGAAATAGAATAAGTAGTTTAAAAATATGTTTAGAAATCAGAAATGTTTCAAATAAGATTTTGACAACAGTTATTCTGTTATCCTCTAAGATAAATATTTAAAACTGAGCTGCTATATAACAGGCTTACTCTGTGGGGTAGGGGTTGTGAGTTTGCCATTGGATGACTTGTAACAGCTTCAGTTTTCCATCTGCTTCCTTGGTTGTAAAGTGAAAATATATTCAAGTCCTTGGTGAGTGTTAACCACATGGACTGTCATCCCTTTTGTCATTCTATTGGTGGAGAAAAATAGAACCAGGCCAAACTCTCTTATGAGAAAAGATACTTGTTACAGAGTAAAATCATAAAATGTTAAGTAGAATGTATTAGAGAAGAGCAATCCTCCAATCCTAAGAATTTAGTTCCTTGTATGGAGTTGTATAGATGTTGAACAGCACCACTAGGACTAATAGACCATCTGCTAGAGTTTGGGACTGTTTACCAAGGGTTTAACTAGCTCCAAGGGTATTAACCAGTTGCTCTCAGTGCCGATGGCTGCACAAGGTCCTGTGTGCCTGCTCACATCTATCTGCTTATCTTGTACCCCTGAGCGAGTGGAGTAGGCACCTGGGAGTAAGAAGAATTGAGTTGAGGCAGGATGGAGGTAATTAGCTGTGTCTACTGCAACTCCTTGCTTGTGTTGAAATAGCTGGTATTCTGCCAACTGCAAACAAAAGGGACCTCTTAGAATGCTGCCTTCCAATCTTAATAGCATTCTCATCCCAATTATAAAGCATTGATTGCTACTAGCAGTATGTTTTCTTGCTGTAGAAAAATGCCTTTATCTTTATGTAACCAGGGAAAATAATGGTGTATCTTTCAGCATCATAAATGATCAGACAGACGGTAGTTTTTGTAAAAGTTATTTCATGCAAACAACTAGCTCTTTGAATGCCAGGATGGGTTCATACACAAATAGGATAAAGGGAGGGTATGGAGCAGGCTCTAGACAACACATTCTCTCTGAGGGGTGAGTTTTTTGGTCCAGTTAAATTGAGGGTCATTGCTCTCGTGAAGTTCTGCTGCTGTAGGAGTGAACATTGTTTTCAAAGCTTTGAAACTCTCTGTGCTCTTCAGGAGAGAAGGGTCTTCTCATGTCACTTTTAAAGTTGGGTGCTTGAAGAAAGCACTCATGACAGACATTTGAGCAAAGAAATCACCAACAGATGACCAAAGGGAATAAAGAATAAGTGAGATGATGATGATGACAACTATTTATCAGCTCCTTTTCATTTCAGAATAGGTACTCTGAGTTGTCTCATCCCTCGGCTGTACACAAGAATCTTAAAAGAAAATAATTGTCTTAACTTTTCCCAGTCTTTGCTCTAGAGAGTTCTTAACTGGTCTACTGCAATAGCACCACCTATCTTGGGACTTTTATTTTCTGTGTACTTGGTTTATATAACCTATCTATTATAATGAACTTTTATTCTAGAACACAAAACTAATTAGTACTGTAAATTTTAACAGTGGTGCCTCTGGTTTTGTTTTTTAGAGTCCATTGAGAGTGTTATCTATATACCCAGATTCTCTTTCCAAACAGAACACTTTAATAGACAAATTATTATACTATATGTTTATAATTACCAATTTATTTTCTTACGTAAAATGAAGGACCAATCATAACTACACTTGGTTCTGATAGGGTATATTTATCTAAGTAATAAAGCGTGAAAAAGAAATGCCAAGCAATAAATTAGCGAAGAAGCAGCTCAAGAGACACTTTTCATGGGGAATTTCTCTGGCATGCAAATATTTTCCCCTAGTTCTGATGGTTTTCTTAAAATATGAGAACAGAACAGTAGTCATGGATATTTTAAAATGAAACGGCCATAAATATTTTTAAATGCATCAGTTGAACACTAATATGTTAGTCATATCTTCTCAGAGCCAATAGTTTGTTGAATAACATAGGCAGGAATAATAAAGACTAAATTAAAAACAAGGAAGAACATGCCAGGTAAGTATAGAGAAGCTTGTCTTCCAGGAAATTACCATTTGTTATGAATGCATATTTAAAAATGTATTTATTTAGGAATTATATATTTTATTGTTTTTTTTCTTTTTTAAGAAATTACATATGCAGCTGCATGCCCAAGATTCAGGCTTGTGTAAGTGCCTTTTTTACTCAGATGCCAAGCCCCTGGCAGAAGCAAATTAGTACACAATCAGAAATTAGTAGATTATTTTGTGAAATATATTTTGAACTTTCATAAAGACTTCAAACTTCTGATTATTTACATAATAGAGGTCCAAATGAGATACCCCCACATAGATGATCAGATTCTAGTTCCTTTTTTTGGCTGAAATTTTGAACTTTATGTTCCTGAAACTGTAAAGCACTGTACAAATACAGGTTTTACCTGAGTAATCATCACCAGTTGAGCACATTTGCAGTTCCCATCTAAAATATCTTTTGATTTTAATGTTTGCAATGTAATGGACTTCACAGAAATTGTTCAACACAGGTGTGTTTAAATGTTTGTTTTATTTGTGGTTAAACTATATTCATGAGAGTTAAGTTTCCAACCCTGGACTCTGCTCAGAAGCCAGTTTAACATGGTCCAAGCCAGTTTAACATGGTCTAGGCTGAACTTTGAATGACCTACCCCTGAGAGAGCAGTAGTTTACCTGTGTTAAATATCTCCATGGAAGTATATTACTTATTTAGTTACCAAAAGGTTATTACTTCCCTGACTTCTGTACCAACTGACCTTAAAAATGGATTTGAAATGGTTCACAATAAAATCATAAAACTATTGAAATTAGGGTTTCAAAATGAGGTCAAAAATTCTGGGAATCCAGGGGATGTACATTGTTATGTAACAGCTCTGAGTTTAAAAGCGATCAAGGCAGGGAAATAAGTATTGAAAGAAATTCTTTCCTAGCTGTGACCAGACAGGGAAGCAACACCAAGATTCCTATGAAGCCTCTAGAGCGAGCAGGAAGCAAATCAATTACAATACAGCAAAATGTCGACAATTATCAACAGGTGTTACATGGCAACCGCTATAGATGGATGAGCCTTTGAAATGATTGCCAGTTCTCATCCATATAATCAATACATTAAGAATTAAAACTTTACAGAGAAGAAAATTAAGGCGTTTTGTCACTAGCCATAAATTTGAATGTGGTTTATTAGATAGTGCCTATGTCATGGATTCTGGAAACTGGCTGTGAGGCCTCATTTGACATTCCTCGTGACTCTGGGCAAATAACTTGAAATTTATAGGCTTTAGGTTATTTTTTTTTGTATTTGTAAATGCAGAAATTAAACTGAATGCTTTCCAAGGTCCCTATAAAAATGTGATTTTCTACTTTGTCAGTTATCCATCTCTGTTCTCCTGGAAAGTTTTGTAGTCAGGTATGAAACTCAGTTTTATTACTGTTATTTAAATTACTATAATTTTTAATATATTCAGTCAACAGATATTTATTGAAGAATAGTTTAATACCTGCTATAGTGTGGCCATACAGATACTACAGAGAATATAAAGATATAGATCGCATAGTGTTACATTAAACTCCAAGTTTGCATTTACTGAAGGGCCCTGCTAAAGAATTTTAACACAGGGAGTAAGACCTACAATGATCTCTCTGATTGTTGCTACTGAGCATTCAGAGCCTGGTTTAGTGCTGTGGAAATTAGAACTGAAGACCTGACATGTGGGGCTGAGGACACGTGGAGTCCTTCAAATAATCTGGGACATTCTTTTTAATGTGGCCTTAGTTCTCTACTCTAGGAAGCCACAAAGATCATGTGGTAACCAAAGAATTCATCATCTTTTCCAGTAAACAAACCACTGTATTGAATGATGGCACCTAAACATTCTAATTTGTGCAGAAATTCTCCGAAGTGGGCTCTTTGACCATACAGTTCTTGGGGTAAAATCTGCTCCTGTTTTCTGCCCCTGGAGGGCTGCCAGGCTCTCACCACAAAGGGTGAATTAATGCATGCTGATCCTCAGTTAAATATCCAAACGCTTGTATTTTGCTATTATTGAAATTTATTTTTATCCCCCGTGACTTCTCTGATGTTTTTTTAAGTTACAAATTTTTATGTTTCCAAGAGTATGATAAAAATCTCTTTGAGGCTACTTGGTCTTTGTATGTGTGACAGACATAAACCTCATATAGAACTGATGCCCTTTAAACAACCTCAATCTCTTCCTTAGGCGATTCTGAGGGTATAGCTGTGAATTAAGAAGTCCATATCGTAGCTTTAGACTTCTGAGCAGTAACTAATGATACTATTCTCTACCAGTCCCCTCTACCCTGGCCACCCTTGGCTGCCTGAGAATGGCCTTGCCCCTAGAAACAGCAGAAAATAGCACCTTCTCTCTGTCTCAGCCTTTACATAAATCTAAAAGCCTATAAACTTTGATCTGATTTTAATTTAGCAAACATTGGGATAACAGATAATCTCACCATGGGGGTAGTCCCTGCCATCAAGATGTTAATTATTTTCTAATAGAAAAGACAACCTTGTACAGGTTGTACTTTGGCAACAGCTACACGTACACGTTCCTGTGCCAGATACTTTAATGTCCATTATCTCGTGAAGTCTCACAAGATCAACCAGACTGTAACCTCTATGAGGACAGGCCCATGCCTGTTTTGGTCACTGTGGCATCCTCAGCCACGAGTGCAGTGCCCAGCATGTAGACAATTAGACCACTTTCTTCTGTAATATTATAATAATTTCATACTTAATTTGTGCATACCTTTTTTGTGCACTAGACTGTAAACTCCCTGAGGATATAGACAGAGTCTGTCTTATTCATCATGTCCACAACTACCAGAGGAGAATGTGGCACAAAGGTGATAAGCAATAAGTAACTTTGCATAGAGAATAAATGGAACTGAGCGAGGAATTTCAGGTCCTATGTTGCAGAGGAAAAAAAAAGTGACTCAGAACCATGGTACTTAATGCAATACAAACAAACGAGAAGATAACAGATAGGTAACTCCAGCCTCACCCCACTTCTAGAACTAGAGGTCTCCTGACCTTCTAGAAACTTCCAACTCTCTACCTTGCTCCTCTCAAATCCCAGTTATCCTCTAGAAGCAGCAGGTCTTCCCTGAAACAAGGTCCTGTACCATAGGGATCTTGGGAAGAGAGATGAGAACAGGAATTCAGAACAAAATAACTCTGACACCTTGGGCATCAGCATTGCAGTTTAACTTCTGTGTGCTTTGGTAAGAAAATGTGAAATGCAGGTTTAGGGAAGGAGAGAAGACTACAGAACTTGCCACTCCCTAAGACTATCCCAGTTGAATTTGTTTCACATCTTCATTGGGACAGTCAATTCAGCAGTTAATTTGGGGGGAGAGGTATGGAAAATTACCCCAGGGCTGTAGTTGCTCAGCAGTTGTCAGTGCTGAGTGCTAATTATCTTCCAGTCACTGTATCAGATACTCTATGTACAATTATATTGTTAATAGTTTTATTTTACACATGGAGACTCCTAGGCTCAGAGAGGTTAAAAATATCACCAGTTAGCAGGCCGGTCCCTGCCCAAGTCTGTCTACCTCTAATCATGGTCTCCACTAGTCAGTGCTAGGTGGCCTCATTGCAGGGACTCAGGCTGTCCCTCCATGTTCGTCCACTTCCATGTTCGTCCCTCCCCACTAATAACCTGCCTTCTTTAGGAACCCCCATACTCCTTGAATCTTCATATTCTGTGTCTCTCGTGATTCTTTGATCAAGCATTGAGAGTAGACTTCCAAGATGTCTGTAGGAAAAAATCGATGTTATCTCACAGAAAGGAAATCTTGGGAGAAAAAACTAGAAATGTAGGGCTAGAAAAATGTTTTCAGGTCTGTCGATACTGTCTCCCTTTTTAAAGATATAATAGCTGTGTTATTTCAGGTAAGTCACTTAATAGCTGACTCTCAATGTAATCACCTCTTAAAGGAAAATAGGTATTTTTCTATCCAGTCTGCTCACAAGGATAATATGAGATAATTATGTACAAAAATGTTTTATAAATAGTAAGATACTGTATCAGATATTATTATTATCAGTACATAGCTCTAGGTTAGCTGATTGAGACTTAACTCCTAGAAGGAATTTTTGAGTCTATAACAGTGTAATTTTAGATTGATCTAGAGCTCCCCAAATTCTTTTCAACAGGCCTTTGAATCACTTTTGCTTTCTTGTTGATATTGAACATCTATCACTCTCTGAACCTCCCCTTTACATTCTACTTCCTTATAAAGCCATTCTAACTTCTTCAATTTGTCCCATTGCCTCTCCCACTAAGTTTGTCTTTAGTTCTTACTGCTTCACCTTCCATTATCTCACATTTGCAAATGGTTTGGGTGATGAAAATTTAATCTTGCTGCACTATCTGCCACTGCATTTGTCATCAGGGCCCACCTTGTCTTGCTAAATGTCTGTCTCCTACCTTGCTGCTCTATAAATATGCTTCCTAAAGAGGAACACCTTAGCAGAGAGAGTAGGGCTGTTCTTTGATCAAAAGTACTCAAGCACAAGTCAATTTGGATTGCTTTGTAGCTTTTATTGACTCTACAGCTAAATTCTGTGTTCTCTGAATTTAAGAACCATATTTCTATTTAACTCACATATACCTACCATTATACACACAAAACTATCAATAAATGGTTGGGTAAGAGAAGAGGTTTTAAAGATAAGATTGCCAGTAGCAGAGCTCATCTTTAGCTCCTTACATTGGAATTTATGAATTTCCTTTGTTTTCCAATATGGAATACGTGTGTTACTACTTTTGAGTAAATATGGCATGCAATTTCACTGTATATTGGGAAGTAGTTTCCAAATGAAAATTTAGTTATAGCTTGAAGATTTTAGACTTGGCTGAATTTGAATGGTAATATAATATAATTATTTATTTGATGTTTCTATTCTAATTCCATTTTTACATTTCAGGGTCAGTTAAGCTGGTCTTTATCCAGATGGTAAATGACATTTGAAGATGACATTTGAAGATGTCATTTAGCCTCTTCCCTGACATTTTCCATTTTATACTTATATATTTCACTTAATGGGGCCATTTATATTCAGCATGATTCAACTTAGAAGCACTTAAAATTAAAAATTCAAAGTATTCTGTATTCATCTGCTGGCTAGCTCAGTCATTTCCAATTTGTCTGGCCAATTAATCATAGGTGTAAGTGGTTAATAAAATTAACTATGTTATTTTTTTCTTTCCTTCACAAAGTTTCTTAGCATTACATTGACCAAGCACCTTAAATAATAGCAGAAGTAATTGGACAACCCAATCATTTATTGTATTCAGGTGCATAATGAGCAGCTAACATGTTGGTATGTAGTCATCCACTACCTCCTTGCACGTGGAAAAAAAGAATGATTTTCATAGAACCTTATCAAGTGAATCCATCTGTATATATTTAGGAGGATCCATTATATGGAAAGTATTATCTTTCAAGGCTAAAATAGAGCCATTGGATTCATTTATTTAGAGGTATGGCTAAATTTAAATCAGAATAATTTTGTTCTGTAATGATTCTGAAAGTAGTTATCCTATTTTTAATCCTACTGGTGTTAACTTTATTTTGTAATACATGTATGATTCTCAATTTTCCCAATTACCAAAATCAAAAATAAGACAAGGAATTAAAAAAATTCTTTCAGTTACTCTAAACCCTTAGACTACAACTTGATCTTTGTTAAATTAACATGTGATTATAGACTAAGATTGTTACTATTAAGTTACTCATTTTTATACCATATAGTTTTAATTTAAAACCTATTTTTTGCTTTTATATGCAATTTTATAGTCATACAATTTCTATGTATTCAAATAATTTTAATACTTATAATCAATGATTTTAAACCACCACTTCTACATTTCTGAGACCTTAATTTTAAATAATCCTTAATTGATTAGATAATTAATACTCAACTTTATTTTTCAGGAAAAGTTTGTAGATGTTATATATTCTGAGCCTTTGCACTTTTGAAAGTAGACTTTGGTTGACAGTAAAGGCCTAACAGAATTAATGAGTAAAAATTTTTTCTCTCACATATATTACTATATATTTACTCTGGCATTTGTTTTGCAATGGAGAAGTGAGATTAGTCTGACTTTGATTCCTTTGAGGTCAAATTATTTTTTCCTCTATGTGTTTTTTTTCTTTTTTTTTTTTTTGAGACAGGGTCTTACTCTGTCACTCGGGCTAAAGTGCAGCGGCATTATCATAGCTCACTAAAACCTCAAACTCCTGGCCTCAAGCAATCCTCCTGCCTCAGCCTCCTGAATAGCTGGAACTACAGGCATGCACCATGACACCTAGCTAATTGTTCTATTTTTTGTAGAGATGG